CAAATTTACTATTCACTAAAACTAACTGACAACAGAATCTAATTCTTGGGTAATTCATATATGTGTTTGGAAAGAAAGAGAGAGAAAGAGAGAAAAAAATTGATTTTGAAATTCTGAGAGACAGCAAAAGAGAGAGAGAGAGAGAGAGAGAGAAAGAATAAACATCTCTCTCGGGTCTGGTTCGTCATCATTTCCATCTTGATGATCATCATCAACATTATCGATGGATGTAAATCATCAACATCATCATTGTAGGAAATTGTGGCGGCAATCCACTTGAAAATTTCCCATAGGAATTATCTTTATAGAATCCAATGGATTCTATGACGATGTTAATGTTGTTGTTGATGATGATGATGATGCTTGTTAATGATGAGAAATGAAAAAAAAATAATTCATCGAATGTTCTCTTCATTCATTTATTTCTAATACTGTTGATAGATACTATTCTTGTTTGTTTGTTTTTTTGACATTCAACATGAAACACACCGAACATGTATCATCATTGGACAGCAGCAGAAAAAAAGTAAAACGATGATTGTATTGATACCAAAAAAGTATTCTCTCTCTATATATATAGCCAATATTGAAAATTAATATTGAAAAAAAATCCAATGCATTTTGCCAACAATTTGAGTTAATTAATAATCAATGTTTTTTCTTCATCCAAAGACACGATGATGATGATGATAATCATAACGGTAAACATAACAGTTTATTTAGATATATTTTCACTCTCTCTCTTTCTCTCTCTCTCTTGCCTGTTTAAAGTCAACATAATTTTCATCAAAAAAAACCGATAATTCTCGCCATATATGGATATATCGACAAGAAAGAAAAAACAACATCAACAAAACAGCAACGAGAGGAAAAAAAATCCATTTATATATTAATGGTTAATAATTATCTATTTTAGGTTTCCATAATAATAATTATGATAATCAAAACTCAAAATGATAGATTCACATTGAACAAACAAACAAACAGAAAAAAGCTTACTTCCAAATATTTATCGATCAACAACAACAACAACAACAACAACATGAAAATGGTTTTAGTTAGATGAAAAAATCATTTTAGGAATTATTTTTTTGTTTTCTACGATGAATCTAATGAATCGGAATTCATAAACATCATCATCATAAGGATTATTATTAGATTTGTCATTTTGTTGTCATCATCATCATCATTAAAATCAAAAATTGATGATGTTTCTATGAATTTTCTTGCCTTTTTCTTCTTCTTCTTCTTCTCTGGCACTGATCCTAATGGTCAACAGACGATGTTTGTTCTGTTTGCTGGTTTTTTTCGTCATCATTCATAAGTAAGTATAATCGGATTATAAATGATAATAATAAT